ACCGCTTTATCCAGTACAAGGTAACTGGGGGGAGACAGAGCCTAACTGGGCACGACGGGGACAAGGCTGGGTACAACCCCGGATGGGATGCCAGTCCATCAGGCGGCACACGCACACCTGAGCCCGTTTTTCCCAGAAGGCCCGTAACCTAACAGTATGATGGGTAAGTCAGGACCGGAGCACCTGGAGGAAACCCAGGAGAACAGGGGTGGAACACGCAGGCCCCACGCGGAGGGCACCCCAGAAACTGAACCTAGGGCCCCAACTCTACCAATCACTGCTCCACCTCGCCCCCCATCCTCCTTCAGCTACCAAAATAATTCCGTTAAAAACCGGCACTCTGACCTTTCCCCTCGCCTGGCTGCGACGTGCACCTTGTCACACCGACACGCAGCGGCATGGTTAACGATCGGTCGCAGACGGGCTGAAAGAGTCAAGTCCAACGGAGCGCAGGGCAAACATCGCTTCCTTTTATGAACACGGGGCAAACCGCAGTGGTGAAACTCACTTGAGCCAAATCGTCACGGCCGACGGTTCACTGTTCTCCACCCTGAACTCAAGCAACTGTGGGAACACTGAGGCTATTATGTGAATAATTCATATGACAAGTTTAAAAAAATGAAAGAGAAGAGGGTATTATATTAAAAAAACGTATCTGAGCAGAAACAGCCTCTGGGAGTATTTGTATGCCTTAATCATATGCTTTAGGCAAAACCCTAACCTTATATCACCTGCGTCTGTGAGTCTTTATGATTGACTGCAAGCACAACTATAGCATTCACAAAGCCTGGTGAACACCTACCAGACATCTACTCAGCCACAGCCTCAGTTTCTGAAACGGGTCAGTTTCAGGAACAAACAACTGTCTCTGTGTGTAATTTCTCATTTCTCTTTAAAGGGCTGTCAGTGATTTTCAGGTCGAAATTCTTGTACGTTTTGACGTCATCTAGTTTCACTGTAAGTACCAGTTCCTGAACCAAAAGGAATCTGTCATTAAACTCATACGTTTTCAGAAAAATAAAGTACAGCAAATTTGTGGTCTAGATTTCACGTTTATGACATTATTTTGATTAATCAATCATTTACAACTGACTGTTGCACTTAAATGACTTTGCATAACCTCTAAATCACCTCGTTATTGAGTAGAGAGGTTTGATTGACCCCAGGTGCTACAGTTATTTAATCAGTTAAAAGTCAATCCTAGTGAAAACCAAGAAAAAAAATACAGAAAGGAACCAGCCCGTATACCAAGAGAGCAACACCTCCGAGCCCACTGTACACTGGTGCAATGCGTCAGCTGGACTTGCCAGCAGTGGAGACGAGCCGTGTTTGGCAATGAATCAGGGCTTTGTGACGACCGTGATGGACGTCAGTGTGCGTGGCGCAGATGTGCAGAATCACAAGCTGACAGCTGTGTACGACGGGTAAGTCAAAGGGTCAGCCCAGGCGTGACGCCCTGGGCAGGAGTTTCTGGCCTCTGCAGGCCGTCTCTTGCCGTGAGTGACGGCAGCCGGGGGCGGCACGGCCCTGCGCTGGTCAGGTCCAGGGACCTCACTGGCTGCCCCTGCTGTGGGCTCATCCCGATGCAACGACATCCCAGCTGGGCAACACACGCCCTCATGCTGCCTGCGGTACCACAGCCTTCTCCAGGGGGCAGGGTGAGCGAGTGCCTTGGATGCCCTGCTTGTCTGGCCTGAGCCCTTGACACGTGTGTGAACACAAGAACGGTTACAAACATGTGGCCCATCTAGCCCATTTTCCAACCCCGTTTCATCCAACAGTTTCCTGAAAGTAATACCAATAATCATTCCTAACGCTTACATAGCGCTTTTCTGGACACTCCACTCAAAGCGCTTTACCGGTCATGGGGATCCCCTCCACCCCCACCAGCCCCACCTGGGTGATGCTCCAGAACGCTCCCCACACACCAGCTCTCAGTGGGGAGGAGAGCAGAGTGGTGAAGGCAGTTCAGAGATGGGGGTTATTAGCAGGGCACGTTTGTTATAGGCCGGAGGAAATTTGTCTGAAGTCTGAAGTTTGTATTCCCACCCGCTACTCAGAGTTAAGGCCCATCTCATCTCCCCTCTGCTACCTTCAATTCCTGTCCATCGAGCTCACCTGAGCCTGATTTTCTCAAGCTCTTCCAACCTGCCACCTTCACAGCTGAAGCAGGTCAGGAGCAGATCTTGAAATGATCCGGACAGTACAGGACTTGTCATGGATGATACTCATAAAATAGGCATGTATTGTAAAATAGTTATGGATTTACATTTTGACCATGTTGCAATACTATGACTCTATACTCACATCCATTATCAAAATATATCAATATGGTACAACACATTTAAGAAGGTTTACTATACCATACTGATGGTATATTACAATCTAGTATTGTCAACTATCCTCTTGCTACACAAAAGCTTTACTGCAAGCGAATCTCTTTCACATGAAGCCAAACACATGCTGAAAACTAGAGAAAATAAACTCAAAACAGACCATGACATTGAAAATAATGACAGATAATAGATCTTTCCACTGTGAACAGCAGCTGTCATTGAGAGATGAGTCAGGCCCTATAATACACATCGTCAATCCCTGTTCCCTGATTTGAGGGGAAGATATTTTAAGAAAAGACGGTAAACGAGAAATGTATACAATTAGATTTACATTATTCAGAAGCTAAAAGAAATGATCTTCATGAAGTATTTTCCTCTCACCGAACTAGAACAGTTTCAGCACAAGCCAAACTCAATTACAGTATGTAAGATGGGTTTGGAATAAACTGAAAATAATTAATTTTCAGTGATCCAGAGGACATTGTTTTGCTCAAAACACAGACTAGCAAGCAATGTGACTGATCAACACAAGCCAAAAAACACAGCAATTACTGCAAATTGAGGCCTCTCGTGTCACATACTTTACTGGAAGATAATGTAGGGCGCCTCATTTAAGGTTACACTCAGACAAACCCATCATAAGATAGGAAGCGGTGAGATTTGGTAACCAAGGAGCTTTTTTTTTTTTAAAGGAACTCCATCCACTTCCTGACAAACACGTCTTTCACTCTTTCACTTTGCAAGATCACAGAAGCCCTAAACACCACAGGCTTCTAAGACTGAATCCAGCCCAGACATGCCCTGACACACTGAGAAGTCTGGAGCAACCAAAGACGCAAGAGACAATTAACCAGTTCCTAAACTGAACGCAACAAGAACTCTTTAAGATGTGCTTGAGGTTTGAAAGTAAAATGCTTTTCAGGAGTTGCATTTCCAAAAGTAACTATACTCTGCAATCATTGCTTATTACTCAGGAGTTACTTATTTATCTTACTTATCATTGCTTATTACTCATATACTCATATGTTCTACAGCACAAGAAAACGAAGCAATATGAAGTATGTGTCAAGTATGTTTTTTAAAGCGAGAATTATGGTGCATGGGTTTCCCCCCTCATCCTCAGACACACGAGCTGACAGGATGTCCGAGTTCCAGTGTGCTTCATATTTGTAAATACAGCCATCTACTAAAACACCAGCTTGTAAACTTGTATGCTTAAAGACGCTTCCAAAAGCGCCGTCGACAAAGCTGCAGCGTGTTCAAACCAGAGAGGCAGATGCATCCTCTTCCCCCTTCACCCACAGCTTCCTCCTCTCCGGAGGGAGGCCCCCAGCCAACAGCAGCGCCCCAAGGTGGCAGTGCAGGTGAGGCGAGCAGCTGGTGCCGGAGACCACGCCTCGGCGGGGCCGTACAAAACACACTTCACAACGAGTCCGGCTGGCAAGCCGAAAACGGACAAGCGTCTTGAGCGAACACACGGACCATAAGCTCCAACAACGATTTTTACGGTGCCCTTTTAAAAAATAAAAAAAAAAAACACTCAGAGCCACTGCTTGGGGTTGCAGATAAACGCAAAAAGGAGAAGTCGGAAGAACAACAGCGTTTTATCAAGAAGTTGCCACAGGACGCAGCCCAGCGCTCGATTAAGATGATTACAAAATAGTTTGAAATGGTTTCCTACAGGGAAACACTGCAGGCCCGCTTGTTTCTGTCCCAACCAGCTACTGTCAGAGCAGCTCCCCTACATTAGTCAGACCACCACACTGTCACAGCCAGGTCCCTAACACCTCAGCAGCGGAGGCCGAGGCCCAGGTGGAATGAAAGGAGCCGCCCGCCCATCGAACTCTAAATTTCAAACCCGACGACACCCAGTGCCGTGTGTAGGAGAAAGCTGCACGCACGCACCGAGAGACGGCGGTCTGAAGTTCCACTTTGGGAGAATGCAAAACTAAGGTGGGCACTGCAACACTATTTTTATATTCTGGGGTTAGAAAGAATCAGCATGGATGACTCTATTTCAAACCACGACAAAACTAAAATATACAGTTACTTATCAAACACTCAATTTACACAGCAAAATAGACTACGTTTCCAGGTATGAGCAGAGCAATGTTCTCGATTCAAAACGAGGCATCAAAACGTCTGGCGACGTGTGTTGGCCTTATTAAATTGTAAACAAGGAGGCCTGTCAATACAACTCTTTTAACCTAATAGATATATTGCTTTCGATTTCGAGACAGTTTTGCCGACAGACAGCTGTCTTGTAAATTCCACATGCAGATCATGTTGGAAACTTGCTGCATTGAAACATCTGCTGCACGACCTGTATTTATTCCCTTGTAAATCACATCAGTCATGACGGAGACTAGTGGGCAGGAGGGGCCACATCTTGTCGCAATTCTTGTGAACTCTCGCTCTCGCCCATGGCTAGACCAGCAGTTTGCTACAGCCCGGTGCAGTACTTTCACAAAGTTCACAAATGCTTGCTTGATTCAAAATCTGTCAATCTTTTTCTATAGCATCAATGAATGTAGTTGTTATCTAGATTTCAGAACCGGTCTGAGAGACCGGGACTGCAGTTCCAGCGCATGGCCTGTGAAAGATCGCACCAGGTTGTGCAGGATGCACACCGGTGCACAACTCTGGAGAATTAAACCAACATACCCAAGGTTTGCCGCAGCTCCTCGCACAGACTGATGTGGGGGAACTGGAGCATCTGCTTCCACTTCTTGCTTTTTCCTTTTCTGTTTCCTCCGCCTCCTGTGAACGAACAGGAGAAGAAGACCGTGAGACGAGCTGAAGGGCCGTGTCCAGGGTCGCCGCGGGAAACGCCACCCCACAGTGCACCTCGGCTACTTTTACAAAACCCGCAGTGCTCTCCACACCGTGGCTGTGCCTGCAGTGCAAATAAGATTCATTGGAGGTTTGGGCAAAGCAAAGGCATGAGGCTACCCTCCAATCGTCCCTCCTTAGTGGTCCATCTGTCTTCTGCGCACGTGCACAGCTACGTTTAACACTGCATCGTGGGACAGTGCCTCCAGTCGCACTGACACAGTCGAGCAGAGCTGAAGCTGGGAGAATGATTTCAATGCCACCATGTCAACGTCGGTGTCAGACTCCCACTAGCTGAACACCAGACACACAGCTGTTACAGGCTTGCCCAGCTGGGAAGCCAATTGAACATCTGCCTGTACAGCAGAACCGGCAAAGGTCGAGGTCGGGAAGAATCAGGACGCGAGCCGGAGAACACTGTGCAGCATTTCCAGGTCCAAGGGGAAAGCACTATCAATGCAATCACCAAACAACAACACCTGCTTCGTGGAGAACCTCTGTCTGGTACCCGCAATGTTCTTCGGACCTACAGAAAGTTGTCTAGGACGCTGCTCAAAAGAAAAAGGCTCAAAAGAAAGGAAGAGTGATCTTTTTTAATAAAAAGAGCTCATTAAAACACGCCGCCACATTTCAATGAAGAACTGACGAGGACTAGCCTCTTGAGGACCTGCAAAAATGAGTAAGAGAAATTCAAGTGTGGTGCTGGAGCCCTCGGAGTGAGCGCTTCCCCACGACTCTCGGCTGAATACTGAAGAGCCTCCATTCAGCCGGTCAATAATGGTCCTCTGTACTTCGGAGATCACTGCCAACGTCAGGAACAGTGGGCTGGGGGAGGGCCTACCAGGAATGCAATGAGATGATGTGGAAAGAAAAATAATAACAAGAAGAAAAGGGATGCTCCATCACTGAAACCAGCCACTAGGAAAATATGCAACACAGGGCACCACAGAACATTTGCAAGTCAAATAAGGGTTAGTGACAGCAGTCCGTCCGATGACCATGCTTGTGTACCCGCTTTTCTCAAGAAGGAAAATGAGCGATAAATGCAAATCACTCCACGTGCAGCCAAACACATGCAACGTTAACTCTGAATACTCCGATTTAACCCACTGGACCGTGTGCAGCAAACTGGAATCAGCTGCTGAACAGGCGTAAAAACAAATCTGACAAGTTTCACATTTTAATTCTCATAACCAGCATAAGAGTTACACATAGAGCTAACAAATATCTAACTTATATGAAAGGGGAGGCAGTGGAAAGACTGGCAAAAAGACAGTAACAATTAAGCACCCTTTTAAAAAAGAAAAAAAAACAAACAATGAGCAATCTTTTGATTCAGCTCTGATCTTGCAAGCTCAATATTTGCTGCTGGTTTCCCAGAAGTGTATCTTCTTAAACAGATGTGTACTTGAGAAAAGCCCTTTGACTCAATCGCTACAATTGACACCAATGATCGCAGGGATCAGCCTGCTTTGCACTAGGCCGGTTATTTGTTTTCCTATATTTAGTCCAGTTCTACAGCTTGTCCTTAATTGTCTATATGTACTCTTAAAAATGAAATGTTGAAATGTGTTGAAGGTTGAGGGAAAACAGCCATGAGTTAAAAAAACACACAGATTTGTGCACGGAGCACAGACGACAAGGAGGTGTGTGAAAGTAGTTTCTTTCCATTTCCCATAAAAAGCCCAGGTTTTACACACAGGCAAAGAAGCCATGCTACTACCTGTAAACAAGTGCACAAGTGGAAAAAAACGGAGCAGACAGCTGGGCTCTGTCTGCCCGGGCATCTCGCAGACGGGCTCTGGAAAGCCCGTTTCCCCCACAAGGTGGAAACTCACCACTTGGCCCCTCTTCCCTGCTCCTCAGCCCAGCTCACCCACCCTCCCCTCAGCCCGCTCCACCGCAGACTTCCGCCGTCAGCTTCACGGCTGTGCCATCACAATGGCAGAGTCGAGACGCGCAGAAGCAGCCCGGTAACAGAGCAAACAGGAAACTCTGTGCAAGACGTGAACTGCAACACATCACAGCAACTGAGCTGGGGGCAGGAGACTGCAGTCTGCCTCGACGCAACGCCCAGGCCCTTCACAAACACCCAGGCAACTGCCTGCCTGATTCATTATGGAAATCGCAACTTACAGCCAGTGGCCAAAATAACCAGAACCCCCCTCGTCAATAATCTCTCTCGCTCGGTGGTAAACAGTGCACGGCTTTTTCTGCAGAGGAAGAGACAGACTTCCATCGCGTTTCAGGGCCAGAGCAATCCCCCCAGATCTCAACCCAACTGGAAACTGAACAAACCAGCACAACACAGATGCCGGGCCATACTGGGATGGGACTGGACTCCAATGAGCCTTTTTCAAAACATTGCGGACTGCAGACCACATCCTGTTCAAACGATCAGCCCAACAGAGTATCTGATGGGGGCGTTGCTGATATTTTGGCCTGTAACAGCAGTTTGGAGTTCCCTGTATTTCCAAAGAAGCCACAGTTAGTGTGTTAGGGTTGAGGAGGTACATGCCGACAGCTGACTGACGGGGATTCTTCAAAAACAGATGGATTGGACTGTCTTTTCTTCTTTGTAATGTTTAGGAATAAATTATTTTTACATCTTAGGACTCTGAACTGTACAAGGTGTGATCAATGTGCACATGACCAAACCAAAGCAGCAGGACAGACAGAGTGGGGAAGAGAAAGTCAAAAAGTGACATCCGAGACAAGGTTCAGCAGAAAAACATTTTGTGCTGCGCATGCAAAAGATAACAGAAATGTCACAATTCGATTGAGTTCATCACTTGCAGGCGTGCAGAGATCCCTGAACTGATAAAAGCGATTGCAATCATACAAAAGGGAGTCAGCGACCATAAAAGGTTCTTGAGGCTGTGAAGAGACAGACGAGCTAGAAGGGTTCTGCCCTTGAACAGCACAAGGGAATAAGCCAAGGAACATCCACAAAGCTTGGAATTCTGCAGAAATCGATGGGGGATAATCTACTGCTAGTTGAGAATTAATTCCAGAAACTGGTGCTTGCTTCACTTTTGCAGTCCACCTTTTAAAATAACAAGATTGACTTTCTTGAAGCCATAAGTATTCACGAGGGATGCCACCAATATCACAGAGTGGAAGTCTTGAAAGCAAACACTGACATATGAGAGCTTATCTCTTCATCAGAACTGCGCTGAAATCATTTGCTTCTAAGGAGATTGAGCTTGGATGATGCTGTACCATTCAGCTGACAAAACAATGAACAAACAGATAAAATAACTAAACATTTAATAGCATACATATGTCTTCAGGGGGTGGAGATTGCAAAAAAAGATTACCAGCTGAATTTAGCTCCTTTGGAGTAACTTCAAGGACCTTTTCTCAGAATACTTGATATTTGCTGGAAGTACTGTAGTTGCATAAGGGGCTGTTAGAGGTAGGATCTAGATGAAGTCTTTTTCAATCGTATGTAATGGATTGTTCAGCCAAGAGGTGATGTCAGGGCGAAGGTGAATATCAAGGTAAAAGCAACAAGTCAACCTCAGGCTCCAGGGACGTCTGCAAGGTTACAGGTGCTCAGGTGTTCTTTATTGTGGAAAAAGGAAAGATAAAAACAGAGACCTAGGAATGCTCGACCTAGTCTACTGGGACCTGATTCTTTGGAGGTGTTTAAAGTGTACACTTTTTTATTCTGAAAAAAACATTCTTGCCAAGACCTTGACTTTTCAGTCATATCTGCAAAGGTGACGGCGATTAAAAAAACAGACTATGGCCTTATATCCTTTCATGTCAAACACTTCCTGTGAGAAAATTACCCGGGTCAATCTTGATTTAGGGAGAACAGGCTACACACACGCCTCTGAATCGAGCATGAACTGCAGCCTTGGTGTAATTTTCCATGACCACATGTCCCACATCCTCAATTTCAACAAACGCAGTTGTAATGCGCTATTGTGTGTGTGAAGGGCAGAGATGAGCCCGTTGCAAAACGTGAGAGGAACATAGAGCAATTTCCCCCGTCACCTTCTCCTCCTCCGGTTGCGAGAGAAAGGGGCTGTGATCGGTGGAAACGCGCAGCCTGTGTATCACTGACGGCGCTGCTGCTCATACGGCAGCCTCTCTCAGGCCAGCCCACTGCCCTGTCTGTAGCTCCGCGAGTCAGGGTGACACGGGCAGGTAGAGTCGCCTCCTGGCATCGAGCAAACCCCCGTCAGGCGACAAGCCGGCCGTCGCCAGTAAACGGGACCCGAGTCCAGCTGTTCAGCCCTCTGCGCTCTCCTTCCCCTCCCTCCCAGTCAAGCTGCGAGGACATGCACGTCAAGCGTGGCAGAAGGAGCCCTGAAAATCAAAGCCCCGTCCCACACAGAACTGAGGAGCAGAGAGACTCCTCGGTTCACGCTTGCCAGGCTGCCTACACGGCATCAGGCGCGGGGAGGTCGCACGCCTGAGCGTTAAGTACCTTGCCGGACACCGCAGGTCAACATCTGCCCATGCACACACACGCTAGGAGGTGCGCTGAAGGGAGAAGGCAAAATACCTCCAGATGATGCATCCTGGCTCCGATCCTATCGCGCACGGCAGCCTGTGCTCGAAGTTACAACAACATGAACTACACCCGGAGCCGGGAGACACAACCGGCAAATGATGCTGGATGGACGCGCTTAGCGCTTGGAAAAAGATGTGTAAAAGGCACACACAAAAAAAAGAAGGCACTAGCAGTCCGCTCGCAGCAGCGCCCTGATCTCCGTGTGGCCTACGCTTCCTCGGGGAATCCCCGGGCTTTCCTAGCACATCAAGGCGGGGATGCGAGAGCTGTCAACCTACAAGATACCCCCCTCCCGCGGCTCACCTTCCCTCGCTTTCAGCAGAACGGTGTTGGCCACGATATTCTCGAGCTCCATGATCCTCCTGGGCTTGCGGGTACCACAGGCCCAGCCTCGTCGCCGGGTTGGCAAGTGAGTGTGTCCGCCCCCACCCCCGTCCGACTGTCCGCTCACTCCGCGCCAGCTCTCCGCCCCGGAGCTCCGAGCCGGCTGCCCGGTGTTTACCGGCCGGCCCCGCCCACGCCGACGCCATTGGCGCTCCCGGCGACCCCTCGCGCACGGCCGCGGCGCCCATTGGTCAGCCCCCTCCCGCGACCGCGCCCCTCCCTGCCCTTATATGGACTGAAGAGGCAGCTGCATCCTGATGTACATGTGTGATGCATGTCGAATCTGCTGCACAACTTCCTGCCTAAAAGCACTCAGTGTAGTAAGCGGCCCTCTTTTTTTTTTTTAAACGTAACGTGCAATTTCTTTGCAGATGTGTTGAAAAGGACCCCTCCCTCGGCCTGTCTCCTTGAAGTCCCCGCCGCAGCCGGGAAGGTGAATTGACTGAGGTCCCACGTTTTGCTTCACGAGAGGACGGAGAGTCCGGTCCAGGACGGGTCCTGCTACAGGCGCCGTCCCCCAAGTGCTGCGGACCTGTAGGCGCTGCGATGCTCTCAAAGCTCACAGCGGGTGACAAACCAGGGTGAAGTTCTTCGTTGTTAGACGACGCTGGCTTCCAGTAAAGCGTCAGATTGCTTTTCTGCGTCGAAGAAATACACAGTCACTTATTTAAAAAAACAATACAGTGCAACCGAAACTGAAATAAACCACTTTTTTCCCCTGTGTCACTGTCCCTCTAACCAGGTAACTGTAACTCAAACTGTCACTAGCACATTCCACGCATAAAAAACCGTACTCGCCAAATGGAGGTCTCCAAACCAAACGAGGAAAAACATCATCAAAGTCCTTCACTAGCTTCCACCTCAAAACAGGAGACAATTAAAATGCTGATTACCCCTGAATCAAACTTCAGCTTTCTTAGCTGATCAATAAATCGCGCGACCCGTCTTGTGAATGTGCTCTGTGTAGCAGAAAGCCGGGACAAAATGTGATTGCTTCCAGCGTTGCTCTTTTTTTTTTAAAGGCTGTTTTGGAGCTGTTTCCAATCTGGATTAATTTTGTACCTATTTATCATCATGGTTTCTTGTAATAATGCATGGCGTTTAATCCCAAAAGATTACAAAACTCCTCCTTGCGTAAATTGTATTATCAGAGACACCATCTGGGTGCAGCTGCCCTGTTAACGCTGCTGCTCAGGTGGAAAAGTGAGAAAGTGCTTCACCAGTTAAAACCAGTGAACCGGATTCCTCAATACCGGAAAGGAATTCAGGTGCTGGCGTGCTCACCAGGCCAGGACTTGCATCGCTTCTGAGATCCGATCCGTTTAAACTTGAAGCTTGTAATGCTTTTCGTTTGAGTTTGGCTACTATGGCAATAAATAAACTGTGATTGCTTTTTATCTTACAGACCACACTAATGTGTGCCTTTTAGTTTCTGCAAAACCCACTAGATTATACAGATTCCGTGCTTTAACTAAAACCTACACTTTTTTTAAGCATTAATAATAGTTTGTGCCTAATACTAATAATTACCGTCACTGGTTGTTGTCGCTTTGCATATCCTGCCATCTAGCGGCCATAAGTAGCATAGACGCTAGGCACAGATTCCGGGGGACGGTTCACTTAAAACGCAAAGCAGGGATTTGAATGTCAATATCTATCAGTAGTTTTGGATAGGCTGAGTACGTGCAATGGGAATGAGCACAGGGCTGTGATTTAGATGGAAATTACAGTTTCATTAGCGTGACTCTGACTGTTAATACGGCCAGTATCGTGATGTACTGCTCTTTCCCTCTATCTCTATTTCTGGTCCTCTTCACACCTGACTGTGGTTAATTAGCGAGACCCTGTGCAACCGTGTGATTCAGTCAGTCGAGACTGAAAGAAGAGACGGAAGAGATTTTCTGTACGTCCTATGCAGTCCCGAGAGCGAGAATATTTTAGTTTCTTTCCCTGGGACAGCCTTTACCGATCTGAGATCAAGAGCGAGATATCTAGTTCTTGGGAGGCGTGTGTTTTGTTATCGAGGTAAACCTGCATTCACGTTTAGATTATTTTGTTATCGCTCTGCAAAGTGTTTATTGTGTAATATAATTCTGTATTTCCTTTAGATTTGGACTGTTTTTCAGTTCGTTTGTATCTTGGCACATCAGTGTGTGTTTATTATCGGAAATATTTATTTTGTGTTACCAGTCGCGGCGACAATGAAATGCGTATTTTTACACATTTCTACACATTACATTTATTTTCTCTTTCCGAAACTTCCTATAAGCATTGTAACAGTTGAAAACAAACCTTGTGGTTTGAGACAAACACCATTGTCATTGATCATTCACTTTTTATTTATAATCTAAGTTGTCGTTATCAATTTTCTGAATTTTTATGATTTAAAAAGTCAAATTATTTAAAAAAAACTGTGGTCATCCCATTTGAAATCCTGCAATTAATCTCATGTTTCCATGTTTAACTTGAAATTATGCCATCTAGATAAGTATGTTGCTCTGCAGATCTCCAAAAGTGATGTCTTCTAATGTGAACCTTGTGATTTGTTAAATGCCGCTCTGTTGTAATCCCAGTTAGTGTTTGGGCTAGCATTCCCACACTACCTAGAAGTGCTTGACACTCAGTGCTGGATAATCAGTCCCAGCGAAACTTTAGGATGAGTGATAATTTGCTCCTATCTGCAACTTTTTTTGGAGACTGTTGCCTGCCTTTGTTGTCTTAAAAAAGAAGAAATAAACCAGCAGTTGATGAATGACTTGTTCTGGCAACCATGTACCCGTGTTTCTTTCCCTCCTCTGAAGTGTATTTCTGATAATACCATTACATGTCACTGCAACCTGAATATCTGCAAATCTGTCTCACAGTATCAATGCAGGCTGTGGTCCCATTGAACAAAACAGACATAGAGGGAAAAATTCTGCCTTTTGGACACTCAGGTATGGGGACAGAATGTGAAGGAGACAGTGAGTTCCTCTTCTATTCCTGCCTTTCCTTCCACTGGAGAAACAGAGGCTTTGGGGCTGGCCTGCCTTCCTTTGCTGTTGTAGCAGCCAGGAGGTTTCTGTGTATATGTGTGCTCCCAGCAGCAAGGTTGTGAAGCATTTGAGCCAAGCAGCTCATCAGATTTGCACTTTTCCCACAGATGCAGTACAAGATACAGATTCTGTATGTGCTGATGTCAGATGCTGTGTTGCCCAGGTCCTTGCCCAAGTTGGGTTGAGCTTCAGTGAGGGCAAAAGTGAATCTCCTCCCCCTGTAAAGAGTGCCAGTGATAGCAGTAACCTGTCACTTTCAGCTCCACTTCACAGTCCTCTTCTTCCTTTTCTTTCCTGCTAAATAAAAAGAATGGTGAGTTATTCCCTTTTCCCATGCTTTCGAATTCACTGTTTCGCCACCAGCTCACACTAGCAGTGCAGAACGTGCGCCTAAGTCAGTAGTTACACAGACGTTTTAAAGCAGCATTGTATAGGAGTGTGGGAGAATAAGGGAGAGAGCAGGGATATTCTACAGGAGTGTGGGAGAATTGTATTCATTTCAGAGTCAGTGGCCATGGGATTACAGGAGCTTATCCTGACCTACAAAGCACCTTCCCACCTTTTGTGTTTATAAACTAGATGTCTGATGAATGAACAGCACATTCAAGATGGCAGCCTGAATTCGTGCAGTAGTGCGTCTTCAGGACTGCTGACTGCCACCACCCAGTGCTGCTGGAGAAACGCCTGCCTCCTAAACCCAATGTGGCAAAAGTGCCTGTTGACTATATTTCTCCAGCAACTGCGAATGATAATGACAGGCAGCGAACAGAGGTGGCAACAGATGGTGGCTGTAATGGCACATTCCTGAGAATGCAGCCACTCTAGGCTGTTAACATCAGGTTAATGGTCTGTCAAAAAAGAAAACAGTGTGTGGCAAAGGTGCACTGTTGGATTCTGGGGTTGTTCCAGAGCTCTGACAAGGGAAAATCGGCATTTCCACCAGACTTCCAAGACAAAGCAGGAAGAACGATAAAGTGCTGGTTATTTTGCAGTTTTGTCAGGTTCCCCTTTCAGGGGAGTACAGTAGCAATGCATTTCAGGAGCAGCTGAGGTCTGAAGCGATAAATTATCTCCTCACGGTTGTCGTAAATATCTGGGTCTGTTTTTTAAATAGCTCATTTCAAGTGGATGTTCAATCTTTAGGTACGATCATAAATGTATCAAAGGGAAGTTAAATTAACGACCCGGTGGGCAGTTATGGGACTTCATACAGAAGATTCTGCCTTCAATCACAGTAAATTCTCCCATTTGAATGGGGATGGAATGAATTTACAAGACAGTCAATCATTTTTCAAGGGCAATAAAGTCTCTCTGCAGCATTTACATTTTTACGCAGTGGTAGGAATTTGTTTAGCCAGAAGTACAATGTGTACAAAACCTGAAAAAAATCACATTGCAGGATTACAAGAAGAGTTTTCAGCTCATCCATCCCCAGGGAACGTGCACTGTTGCCCAGACACGTCTCACGCCAGCCCAACAGTACGTCCATCAAATCCAAGATCGTGGCAGACTTTGAATTTAGGGTTCCACCCGTTTTTCCTCTGTTCTGAGTAAAAAAATATAGAAACACTGGTTCAGAGGATCATCCTCTCCAGATAGATATCCCCAGAGGGATGATATAGTGTAACCCAGAGCGCCCATGCAGTACCCTGCCCTGGCCACATGCAGCTCTCTTACTGACCCTCTAAATGCGCCCAAGTCTGATGCTCTGCACATGTCAGAACAAAACAGCCCAGTAAAGACTATCGATAAGAAGAGAGAACAATCCCCTAGCTTGCACAGCGGATGGCAGGTGAGGTCTGTATTGTACAGAGGGGACGTCACTTCTCTAACTCACCCAGTGCACTGAGCCTTGTCACTTTAGCCACAGTGATCCCGGACTTCCACCAGGTCATGTCTTAAAGGACCCAGAGAGCTTCCAAATACAGTATATGGCTCAAAATAATAAAAAAAATTATGATAATAATTTAGACTGTTACTCATAAAGTGCCTTTCCAAACCCAAGGACTCTGTAAATAGTGATAAAGAAAAAGACAAAACAGGACTTTGTTCCTGATTCCACTTGACTCTTCCTGGCTTCTGTCCTGAATGCTTCTAAACGTAATTTTCTTTATCTTTGCTGACCTTCAAGATATCTCCTGGACGTGGCTTACATCCTTCAGGACTTTTTGTACCTGAATGCAGTTTTCGTGTTCCAGGCTAAAGTTATTAGCTGAAGCATGACTTTCTCTTCAGACTGGGGGTATGGTCCCATCACCCTGTTTCGTATCTTCTTTAGAGCAGTGCTATCTGTCTCCTGGCTTGGAGATGAAATGGAGCACAGTGTTCCAGATAAACGCCAACATGCATAGAATAAGTTTACCATGATTTCCTTAGATTCTACACCAGCAAATGAGAGATCAGCATGGAAAACTTTACTTTTTCTGTACAGTGCTTCTGTGCAAATAAATAATTCCTTTAAAAATATTCAATTGTTTCAAAACAAACAGGGCCACCTGAGAGAAATAAAGGCAGGGTGCAGACTATTGTGATCATGCAGTGTTTCTGTCTTAGTAAGAAAGATTACGAGGGTGATATAGTGTTTGCACTATTATAAATAGTGTTTGCACAACTTCTATTCGTACTTGCCCCTTTGATTTTATTTCCATAGGATCTCCTGCATATTTACTAAAACACCTGCAGGAACAGCTGTTCCTGCGTACGACTGCTGATGATAGCACATGTGTGAAAATGAAAAAAAGTGAAACGATTTCAAACGAGATCTATATCGGTCATGCTCACGCTGTGCAATCCCTCTGACGGGCCCTGAAAGGCACGCCAGTGACGCTCCCTCGAAGCTGAGCCGTGGAGGGGCAGACGGAGAAGGGGTGACAGGGGAAGAGAGAGAGGGGGCAGGGAGAGAGAGAGCGAAGATGCTCGGGGAAGGAGCACTCCGCAGGCTCTCTAACGCAGTCGCCACGCGTTCACTGCCTCACTCTCTCCATGAAGCAGAGGAATAAAACCTTCTTCTCCTGCACTGGCCTCCCTGAACACCAGCCATGGCACCACCTCTGGTCTACCTGCAAGTGATGTTAACACTGGCAGCAGCTCCAGGCAAGTTCCGGCATCCTTCTCACCTCTCTCTGTTTCTAGTCCGGTCTTTCAAAGAGCAACTGCAGGAAATAACCTTGCTTATACTGTATAGACAGTTCTGGCAGGAAGCCCTTAACTAATAAAAGGCAAACCTGCGCTCTCAGGTGTGCAGTAAGTCTGAAAAGTGTCTCTGGGTTAACGCATGTCTCGTTATTTCTTGTCTTGAAGAGAACAGAGAGCATGATGTCAAATCTGCCCTCACACAATCGGTTTCCTTTTGTCAGTATAGAGGGGCAGATGGTGCTGATGCCTTTTGTCTTAAACGTGGCTCTTGAGGATAACAAATCAAAGGATTAAGCAGAGCAGAATGATTTTACTGGATAGCAGCAACCAGGATTGTTGCTGGCTTCTGCAGTCCGGGCTCAGTCTGTCTGGGGGTTTCGGCTGGACGGGCTGTGTTAACAGATGGCGTGTGTGTTTGTGTGTGCATGTGTATGAAAATAAGAAACTGCCCGGCTCGCGGAGCCAGCCTGCTCTCGAGGCTTCCAGCTCGTACTGTTTGCAGACAAGAACGTTTCTCAGCATGTTCCGCTGCCCTCCTTTCAGCTCCCCCTGGTGAGACTGGGAGATGCCCGTGCTGCCCCCTTGTCTGTAGGGTCCCGTGTTCCACAGCACTGACACGCCTGTGATTGCTTCGGTCACGGGGCACAGACAGCACACGCCAAAGCTGGGCTTCATTTCTTCATTTCTAGGAGCACTGTGGTATTGATGACACACATACCGTTTATATCTCCCTTTTAGACAGGAGCAGGAATTTCAGCTAAAAGTGAACTTAAAACCGCCTGCCATGAGAGAGAGAGATACTGTACGTGCGCTTGGCCTCAGGTCAAGCAATGCAAATTAAATCACCCGGACTCTGTTCCAGACCTGTGAGATTTATTCCTGTCACTCTTGTGTGGCTCCTTCTGAAGCAGTTAAGAAAGCTTGCGGCTTGCATGCTGTCCTGTGTCTGGGGTTGGCTTCTTTCTTCTACACAGCGCTTGCAGATACAGTAGTTAGCTTATAAAAGCTGTGGGCAGTGCTGCAATTTAAAAAGCATTCCTCTGGTGGCACTGTCCGCTGTCCCAGAAAGATCTTCAGACTGCTATCGTGTGCTGACTGGGACCCACCCCTCTCTTCTCTGTAACAGCCAGGCTGGATTTGTGTCATACACTGTATAAATGAACACTAAAGGGATGGGCATTTAATACTGAGAACAGGAAGCACTTCTTTACACAAAGGGTTGTGGGAGTCTTGAACAAGCTCTAGATCCATGTTGAAGCTGATAACACCTGTTGCTTTCAAAACAAGTGCCTGACGAGATCCTCTTGTTTGCCAATTTTATTGTGATCTTAGATTCAGATGCAACATGTAAACATGTTTGAAATCCCGAACACTGTATAATAATAATAACAACATCACTTTATTAACCCTTTACAATTTCTTGCATTAGGAATTTGTCTTTTCACATACCCCAGCTTGCTCTCCATGAGCCACACAGACAGGGAGAGAAGCTGGGGGTCAGAGTGCAGGGTCAGACATTTATACAGCACCCCTGGAGCAGTTGGGGTTAAGGGCCTTGCTCAGGGGCCCAACATAGTAGGATTCCTCTACAAACCACAGGATTCGAACCAGTAACCTGCCAGCCACAGGCACAGATCCTGAGCCACAGAGCCACCACTGCGCCCATAGGAAAAGAAAATCGGGAAAAAAAGGTTCTTTAAAATTTGTACAATGATTGCATTTTGTAAGTTGTAAAAGTTACTTTACTGTTAGAAGAAGAAGAAGCTTTTCTTCTAAGATCTAAGATAGCATATTATGGTCTATAAATTACAAGCTGCAGTCGAATCCAGTTCCTCTGGGTGTGTACCATACTCCACACTCCACTCAAAGCGCTTTACAGGTAATGGGGATCCCCTCCAGCACCACCTGTGTGCAGCATCCACCTGGCTGATACGACGGCAGCCATAGTGAGCACAGTACGCTCACCACACAAGTAATACATAACTGAATATTTACAACAGCCTGTTGTGGCGATGGGATAGTGCAACACGCTGTACAATCCCTCTCTCTCCTCTCCTTTCATGCGCGCCGCTCCTCGGGCAGGGGAGGGTCCAGGCGCTCCAGCGTCTCCGCCTTCTCGGGTTTCCTCCAATCACGGCCGAGCCTCGCCCGAAACCACGCCCCGCCCGCAGACCAAGGGGCGTTGCGTCTGAATGGAGCCGGGCGCTCCGGAGCTCCACCTATCCCACAACTCCCCTGAGCGAGGGAGGCCGGACAAATCAGCCGCGACCACGCCCCCCCCCCATCATGAATATTAAACAGGGTGAAAGGCCGAGGGTGAAAGGGCGGCCAAAGTCACGTGACGAGGTGAAACGCGTGTGTGTGTGTCTGTCTCTGCGCCGAGTTGGGGGGAGCGAGAAGCAGGGAATTCACGGGTGGTTGTGTTCAGTAAGGAAAACGAAATGCCGAAAGCTAAGAAGTCTAGCAGGAGAAAAAAGTTCGATTACACCCAGAACCGGAAAAAACTGAAGCTCAAATTCAAGAAAGCTGCGGCTCCCAGGATCGAGTGGTAAGCGGCTCAGGGGACGCGAATGAGCGGAGATGTGTGAGATGGGCAGACCGCTCTGATCGCTGAGTGTTACCGCAGTAGCTGCGAAAGAAGACGGCCGAATCTTTGTATTTTTGTATTTTTTTTTTTGGGGGGTGCGATTTGTTCGCTGGTGTTTGCTCAGATTTGTCGCCGTGGTTCACCGAGTAATTGTGTGTGTTTATCCAGCGCGCAGATCCGGAATGCCTGGGATGACAAGAAGTCGGTGACACAGAACCTGAAAGAAATGGGTCTGGCTTTTGACCCGAACCGGTCTCTCCCGATCCAGAAAGCGAAGGTGTGTGAAACGGTCATGTTGGTAACCCATTTTTCCCCCACACGTAGGCAACGGATCTCTGTTCCTCCGCAGCACGCAGCTCGCACAAACACACAAGCATGCCGTGTTAACCGGGAGCTGTGATGTGGAGATAACACAAGGGCACGCGTGAAAACTGTGAGCCGACTCCGCCTTGTCCATCCTTTTAAATACAGAGTTAGAAGACCTAGCCGGTATACCGGGGATAAGAGCTTCGGGAAACCGAGACTGGGGTTTCGTTGTTTATCAGGTCGTTTTCTCTTGACAGGCTCCGTGTGTTTACCTGTTCTGACACAGTGATGGTCTTCTGCTATAGACGTTATTTCTGTTGTAGGTGACCGCAGTGGAGGCAGGCGTTTCGGAAGCGCACAGTACAACGGTGAAGAAACCTTATGTGCTAAACGGTAAGAAAGAACTTGTGCTGTCTGGTTTTTAACTGCGTACTTTTCATGCGATCTTTTGGATAAAGGATTTTTTTCCTGATCGAGCGATGTTTTGGAAAATAAACTCAAACATTACGTTTTTTCTCCATCACGTGGACTTCAAGGTTAGCCTTGAAGTCTGATAGAATTGATTCATTACTTTTTTAAAACAGGAAATTGTTTTGAAGATCGCATTGCTCTTTTGAAAGAGCTCACTGGGAAGTCTTTCTTTGCGTTTACGGATGCAGCCCTTTTTTCTTCTGAGTGGCCTGCCAGATCCAGGTTGGGTTTCAAAGCAGCTGGTCAAGTGTGCTTTCCCTTCCAATTGTATTTCTAATAAAACCTTGTGACAGCCGGCCACACTGAGGAGAGGCCACAGTGTGAAGTCTTCTCTGATAGAGAGCCACTTACCATTAAATTCAAGCCCCATGGGTTGTGGTGGGAAGAGGGTGGATTTGGGATCAGACACCAATCAAAAATAGACGAACTTCTTTTAAGCAATGAATTGCACGCAACATTCTTACTAAAGAGCGTGCTTAAAGTAATTTAGGGGGAGGAACAAGATCGCAGCAGCGTCTTTTGACGCCCTGTATGTTAAAATATTTATAGACGAGGGGTGTCTGCGGTTCACCCAGCGTGCAGTAGTTCTGCCTCGGGAGTCTGGGAACCCTCAGCTGTGAGGAGATGTAAACTGTCAGTGGTAGATGTGTAGCTAGAGAGCCTTGTAATGTTGAGAACTGATTTGGGAATTTGATGGAAGAAAATGCATTTCATGTTGCATGGTTTTAACATTTTAAGTTTCCCTTTGTTTTGAGGTTAATGCCGATTAATTAACGAGCATTAATTACTTTGTGCTTCTCCAGAATTGGCAGCAGAGGCCAGCCTGCCTTCGAAAAACACAAGAACGCTGTCCAGTGACATGATCGAGTATGTACAGTACATGATACAGCAGCACAATGACAACTATAAGGTAAGACTCCTTCAGAAGTAGATTTCAGTTCCCGTTCTTCCAAGCACTGGGTTCGATTACACCCGTCAGCAATAGGGCTGTCTTCTTGCAGCATGGAAACCAGCTTAAAGACTTAATTGATCTTCAATTTGTGTTTTAAGTCATGCTTAGATGCAGGAAACAAATATTTACTTATTGGAATGGGCCTTTCTGGGAAACGAATAATACTGAAAAGATGATCAGTTCTTCAGCTCCTTGTAGGGAGCTTATCCAATTGAAACTGTGGGCTAATCTGATTTGGGACGACAGGAAAGACTTCTGTCAGATGTACATGTATATTTTAGATTTCATTTGGTTTCATCTGCTAATGCCAAAACAGCAGGTCACACGAAGGGGACTTTTTTTCCACTTGAGTGCATCATTGGAGTAGCGTAGGTGATACACAGGGGGCTCAGCTGTGCAGGCTCCATAGCGCCAGTCCGGCTCACAGGCTCTGGCACTGGCTGGGCTGAAAAGCACAGGTGCCGAGGGGGTGTTCTGTTCCGATCTGACTTCATTTTGGTTTCCATCTTACAGGAAATGGCAAAGGATGAAAAGAACTACTACCAGGACACCCCCAAGCAGATCAAGAGGAAGGTGGAGCTGTACAGACGGTACCACCCGGAGGAGTACGCTGCCTTCATGGACTCCCTGAGCGACCGGAAGTGACCTCCTGCTTCGCTGGCACCTGGAAGGGCAGAGCTCTGCCTGGAGAAACATCACAGAGCGATCTTGCAGATGGACAGAGACGTGCCGCGCTGAACTACACCTCTGCTCTTTTAAAGCCAAGATATTGTAAGTGTAGGTGATGGAAAGCTGTTTCTTTGAGGTTGTGGTTTCATCCAGTCAGGACACAGAGATACACCTCCTGTTTGCTTTCAGCATTTTTAATTTGGTTTTCAGTTTTCTTGGTGCACATTTTAAGTGCATAGCCCAAGATAAAATGACACAAATCTCTGAAATATTAGCCAGTACACACTATTTGTAAAAGAGAACATATATTATTGCATTTATAAAATAAAATGGAAAAATTAAAAAAAACATTATGTACATTGTGCATGTTAAGCCAGTCTTGTGTTTTTTCCTGTGAGGTCAAAAATATAGTACATTCACTGCTGTTAACAGTTGCATACAAAAACATAAACCAATGTTTATATTTTTTGCCTAAATACGTGCAAAACACTTGATTACAAAACTAAAATAACACCTCTGAATGTCATGATTTGTAATGTATAATTGTCACGCCCTTTCTAGTGAAATAATATATAAGCACAAAATATTGCCAGAAATGTTAAGATTTATCCACTCACACGAATGAAAAGAACTTTTACAGCTTGAACATTAAATTTACAAACACTGACATTGTAAACTATCTTCCATTGCGAGCTCTCCTGCTTATTGAAAAGAGAAGAGGAATACAGCACATGTAGTCTTCCATTAGACATTAATATTGACTAGTTGAAGCAGGACAGCAATGTGTTTGCTGTAATAAACAGCCGTGCCACGGTGTTATACTATGTAGTTATACGATCTGCTTTCCGTGCAGCAACACATGAAGTGAATTTTCCAATATAAAAGATTCATTTGCAGGACATCTACAACATTGCATGGTGGATTCCATGCTTGAATACAACAATCCACCCATTTCCTGTCTGCTTCTTTCAATTCAGGGTTACAGGGAGCCAGGGCCTATCCTGGCCAGCAGCATCGCAGGGCAGACACACACTCACAGCAGGGCAATCTTTCCCAGAAGCCAATTAACCCACCCGCATGTCTTCCGTCTGTGGGAGGAAACCCACATGAACATGAACAGTTATCCAGTAACTGGGGGGCACTAGCGTGCTGCGAAACCTCTCCCTGGATCATCACGTTGGAGAAAAAATAAGAATGCAAACTGGAGAGGAACTGTCGTGGTGATATTCCAATGACTTGGATGAGAAGCAGACTGTAGTTCTGGAAACACAATTAGTGCTTGTGCACAATTAGGAATTCCTAAAAGGTGCAACTTGCACAGAGTTTGCATGTGCAAATTGGAACATGAAAGCACAACAGCTTTAATGTTAAATAGTATATATACTTTTCTCATTGCATATTGGATCCTGAAGTCCCTAACATTGCATGATATATAGTAAAATATAACCTTTTAAATAATGGAAGTAAAAAAAACATGACAAATGTAATAAAAACTTTAAGTAAAAAAAACCTCTATGCACCAATAAGTGATTGCTCTTATCAAAATCTACAGTGTTTAACAACTCAAGCAGAGTGTTATTAGACTGGGAGAATTGGTAACCAGCATCCGAGCTCCATCTGCAAGGCACCACCTGAGTAAATAATAATAATAATTTCTTACACTTATATAGCGCTTTTCTGGACACTCCACTCAAAGCGCTTTACAGGTAATGGGGATCCCCTCCACCACCACCAGTGTGCAGCCCCACCTGGAGTAAACTGGGAGACACTGGATGATAACCCATTCCACAGGTATACACAGAGAGAAAACTGAGCCAATTGTGTTTCTTGGTTATCTCCACTGTGCCTCACCTGTGAATGACAGAAACTCTGTCATTCCAATTACAGTGTCCAAGTAGCAGAAGTTAGTAGAACTGGTAACTTCAATTCTTGGAGAAGCCAGTTCATGTCTTAGTGTTCCTAGCTACAGGAGCTTGTTTCTAGTCCCTCAAAGACTATTGATTGATGTGATGCTTTAAATCCATCTTATGTGAAATGTGATGTTTTTAAAGCATCCTTGATATCTGCATTAAATGGCCCCATGTGAAAATGGTGTCTGTAGTTTCACTCTTACCAAACCATAATGCCTTTAAGACGAGCTTCCACCATTGCCAGGACCAGTCCAAGATGCTACCCATAATTTAAAGAAGCAAGAGTTCTTAATTGTCCTCTGAAGAAGAAAAGAATAGGACCTTGGGGACGAGTCGTGCCGTCGAGCCTCTCCCGCGGCACCGAGCCCTCAGAGGGGCGAGACCAGCTGCAGGAGCAGCTCCCGCAGGGCCTGCAGGCTGCCGGGGGTGTCCGGTCCGTCCGCCGCCAGCTGGACGGCCAGGAGGAAGGAGCGCCTCTCGTCCCCCACGGCGTCCAGGGCGAGGGCGTCGTGCAGCTGCGACACGCCGAGCGCCTCGGGCTGGTCCTGAGGAGAGCAGGGACAGGCCAGGGCCACGTCACTCCGGGAGCCCAGCGGCTCGTTCATAGAAACCGTCAGCACGGGCCACACGTCAGCGAACCGCAGTGACGGGTAAATGTACAGTTACGTGTAAAACCTCCAATTTACATTGCAAAACAGTTCCCAAGTCCCAGGGATACACAGAGCCACGTTTTGCGATTCAGAACGAGGCAACACAACATTGTAGGCAAGCAGGCTTGTGAATCCATCTATTTTAAATCCAATAGAAATAGATACTGTACATTAAAAGGTATGGAAATTTAAAATGAGGAGCTCTGGCATTAAGAGAGAATACAACTATGACTGAATATCATGTAAAAACATGTATAGACACATCTGTGCCTTGTAGCTTGAGCCCTCACATCATCCAGAGCCGGGTGCAGAATCTCGTATTCCCAGCCTACGTGGGAACGTGTGAGTGGTAGCTTCTATCCCACAGTGGGTACAGTGCTGAAGGATATTCTGAAACTTCCCAGATCGACTTATCCACCACACAGCGCTCATCACAGCGTGCCTCTAACAGCGGCTCACCTGCTTGTTTCCCAGGACCACGAGTGGCAGCTGGGAGTTGGCCCTCAGGAGGCGATGGAGCTCCTCTTTGGCAAGAGGCAGCCTGTCTCGGTCCGCAGAGTCCACCACGTAGACCAGGATGTGCACTCTCCGCAGGTACTCAACCCAGTAGGACCGCAGGTTCTCACAGCCTCCGACTACAGGGGCACAGAGCAGAGCTCAGACCTAGACTCACTCCCGGGACACTGAACACAGCAGAGCTCAGACCCCGACTCACTCCCGGGACACTGAACACAGCAGAGCTCAGACCTAGACTCACTCCCGGGACACTGAACACAGCGGAGCTCAGTCACTGACTCAAAAAAACCCACACGCCAGCATGCGGTCGACGGAGAAGAAAAGCATCAGGCTGATTAGCAAGCAGTTGTGCCGTGACGTATAAAGCCACAATGTCAGACTCCTCCCACATGTGCTTTAAGCAGGACGGTGGTGTAAGTACAGTAGCTGTGAGACCTCTAGGAGTTCTCTCCTCCCTGCTTGCCTGGCACCAGGCCAGGAGCCTACTCACTCTCCAGGAAGTCCAGCTGGCAGGCTGGCGTGTTCAGGCTCATGAAGTTGAAACCCCTTGTTGGGCCACAGCCTCTTTTCACCCCTTCTCCCGACAGGCCCTGCAGCACGCTGCTTTTCCCAGCTCCATCCAGGCCCAGGACAAGCACCTGCCTCTCCTGGTGCTCCTGCTCCTCCTGCAGAGCCGCCAAGAACAGACCGAAAGAGATGGTCAACACTGCACGCCACTCCAGGGCTTTTACGACTATTACACCTGCATCTGGCTGATCCTTTATTCAAAACCACTCCCGTTCGCACTCACTGATACAGCTTGATATCTACTGGAACAGTGCAGGTAAAATACTGTACCTCGCTCAAGGGTGCAACAGCAGTATCTCACCTGCGAGTCGAAGCCACAACCTTCCAGTTACAAGTCAGGGGTCGTGGTCCTGATTTAAGCTGATTTAAGCTGCTCGTTTGACAGAATGATACTCTTCCTTCTGAACCAGACATTCCAAACTAGTAAGGCAGCAGCACACATCTGACAGGTGAGGGTAACTTTGGTTTGGATGATCAGTGAAGACCCCACGGGACGGGCTGAAAAAGCAGGGGCGCTAACCTTGATTCTCCGCCAAAATTCAAAACTTCTTCACTCTTCCCAATCCCAAACCTCCCCCTGCTATGTCAGCTGATGAGATGTTTTTCATTTCTTCAAACTAATGTTGTCCTATAGCTGCTTTGTTATCTCAACCAGGAGATAGCAGGCTCGTGTTGAAACCAGTAAACATCTTTAAGTTCAGTGATATTAAAACTAGATGTAGTCTAACATGTTTTGCAGCAGAACACAGACGTTTTATGACGACCCCACTGAATATTCATGTAATCCGGTTACAGGAAAAGAAACACACTTGGTAACACTTTGACTACACACATCAGTCAATGCAAATGTAATCAAAATAAGTTAACAAGCTTCAAACATTCAGATTGGCTTGAATAAGAGCCTGCAGCTCATAGCACCTGAAATTACACACAATGTTGTTCCAAGAAGGTCATTTCAGTATTTTCTTCTAAAGTGCATTTTCCAGACATTTTTGACAGTCAGGAAGAGATAATAGTAAAGAGCAATATCTACTGGTAGTGGTCTCCACAACTGACCATCGATATGCTTCTCTGGCTTTTACTCAAGCTGGGCCCACAATTATTTAATTGAACCAATTAACTGTCTTTATTGATTAGAACACATTTTTTAGCCACTGACGAGAAGAGTCTTTACTTGGACTTGAAGGTCTTCTGGAGGTTCAAGATCCCACACAGTGAGGCGGATTTATAAATTGTTGACCTATGTAGCATGCATGCCCAGACCACACCAGCCTCCCAAGCAGACGGGTTTTTTTTCTCTATAGTCTATGGAGTAATTTAAAACGGGCAATTAAACATTCGAGTTAGCAGCCACATGTATTCCACGGCATAATAAATCTTCAGTTACAGCCCGACAAGGTGCCGAGTGTTCGGACAATCCGTCCTCTCTTCCGCTCTGTCTCACGCAGACATTTTAATGCAGCTTATCCAGTACTGAATTCCTCCTGGAGGGTCGGGCTCCGTGTTGGAGTGCTGGGGTGCTGGAAGGGGGTTCTTTTTTATTTCTTGGTGTATTTGGTCTGGGATTCGTGTTTTGCACCGCTACAACCACAGTAAAGCAGGGGTTCTCTATCCTGATTCTGGGGGAACCCTTGTCTCCTGGTATTTGTTCCAGCTGAGCTCTTAATCTCGGGGTAATTGATTCTGTTTTTCTACACGAGGCAGATTAAGTAAATAATTAAAAGCTTTGAGAGGGATTTGCAATATGTGTCAATCCTGTACTCTCTCAGTTCCCGAACACCCTTTATAAAACAATGGCTGTATTCACTGAAGGAACATCTGATACGTTGTCATTCTCACCTGTGTCTGTTCATCCTCAGCTGTCATTATGAGCTGTCTGGTCAAGAATAAGGGTGAGCAAGCGGAGGAGAGACTGCTTACAGTTAAGCATGCTGAGGTTTCTGACGCAAAGCACTTGCGGAATATTTCTGAAACTCAGAACTGAGAGCAGAAATGTTACACAGAAGTCCAAAGCAGCAAGCAGATCAATGAAGCCGTCAATTGGCGCTACAGATGTAGAGCTCAGCTGGAATGAACACAAGCAGACACAGGGCTGTGAAGCACTGCTCTTCTAAATCACAGCTCGAGATTTCCGAGTTGAGTCATCTGCACTAAAATGACCAAAACATTTGAGACAGTGTGTATTTTAGTCAAAAGTTAGTATTGTGCATTTAAATTGCCACTGTTTAAAACGGTCTTGAAAGCATTTCCCTGATAGTTCTGTTTTTAAGGTGAAGTTGGGTTAATATGTCATGTGCCTGGCCTAGTTTTTTTACTTCAAATAACAGTAACTGGCACTTCTCATTTGGCTGGACAGAAAGCGTGATTAAAGGAATATAGCATTTAATCAATTTTAGATATATTTTAAACAAAAAAGTAAAGTGTTTTTCAATTGCATTTCCTACATATTTAATGGGAATAATTCTGGCTCTGCTAGGGTCCAATAGGTGGACGTAAAAAAGTGATCTGGTACTCTTCATGAAACAATACTTCATTGTTCTCAAACGGACCTACGGCAAACTGTAGTCTTATTCAACAAAATCAATTCATCTCTGGCTGTTCGACACCAATCAATGACCATACGTCTACTTTAGTGTTAATAAAGACGTCTTCTTGTTTTTGCATTGGTGGATCAGTATCATCGTGTCCGACAACTAGTTCACAAGCGATTAAGGAAGAGAGCAGAACCACAAAATCACAACTGAAAAGGCAATTGTGTTGGCGAAGTGCGTGGAAAGGCGCTCTTGTGACTTTACGCTGTAAGATAATTAAATATATCTGGTAGGGTGAAGCCTTTTTATGGACGTTTTATGAATCCCTCCTCGAAGCAGCTCCGACAGGTTGGTGTTCCTGACCCAGTTACCTAGAATTCAATCAAAATACACTTTTTTTCAAACGAAGCCTTTCCGAGTTCTTCTCCACAGCGTTCGTATTTGAAGCTACACCTCTGTGGCCGGTGTCACCGGTCCTATAGGGATGTGACACCCCAGTGACATTAAGGGGGTCCGGACTGTACTGTCCACGCAAACCCCTTTCCAGCCGTGCTGTCTTTGCAGAGGGCAGAGAGCAGACCCGTGTCCTGCCCATCGCCTGACCAGGACACATCGTTTCCTTTTCCCTTCTCCGGTCTTTTCCTGGCAGCCTGCTTGTGACCAGCGCCGAAATCAGGAAGTGAATTCCCTTAGTGGCGTCTTAAGAAGTAAAACCTTTGCACCACGCGAGAGCAATGCACACACACGCACGCACGCAAGCGTGCAGAAGAGCAATAAACGGGGCGTCCTGGGTCGAGGACAAAACAAGGCTTTCGCACAAGCGAGACATTTAGGGATCTGGTTTGAACAACGCGCCTTAAAACGACACCAATGTGTACCCCAATGTGTTTTGCTACCCCACGTCTGTGCACGCACCTGCCTCTCTCTGGTGACAGCACATGCAGCAGCTGGCTGTCGCGGCAGAACAGACGGGAGATCACAACTGAAACGACACGTCACGACGTTATCTAGATCCTTTACAAAACGAACGCTTAGGGCTACGAGTTCGCCCAAGCAGCCGGGCGGGCGGGGACCTGCAGACCCCAGACCCCAGCAGATCCACGGGGGGTAGGAAGAGGACGGGATGCGACGCCTTTTCCCTTTTCGCAAGGCTCACCTCTGGGATCCTGTAGTAGTCCATCTCCGGGGACCAGACGCGCCTGCGGTAGAAATAGTTCCAGGCGATGAACAGAGCGGAGCCCAGAGCCGCCACCGCGGCCGTCAGGGCGATGGAGATGCGCCTGAGCAGCACCATGTCTCCGCGGCGCGACGCGCGGCATGAGCCGACAGGCCAGCAGGCTGGGTGACCGGGTTTTAAAAAAAAAAGAGAGAGAAAGAAGAAAAATCAGCACATCAGCCGAGACACGTGACCGAGATAAAAAAAACTGCTCGCCCAGCACACGCCCGTCCTATCGCCGCTCAGAGGCGAGCGACACACGCTGACGACACTTGGAAGGGAGTGACCTGCCTGCAAACTGGCTGAAGTTTCGCACAGGAATAAAAATAATAAAAAAAAACTTGTTAGTCCAGCGTGGTCCTCCTGAATCCAGAGTGAGTGTAGCGCATCTTAAGGACCTACCCTCTTATTAACCGGTGGTTTCGGATCTCCTGGGTTCGGGTATCTTAGGGTTTCAGGTTTGCCGCATGAATGAATGTTAGACACTTGAATGCGAGTCTCTTCCTAATTTTGAGTTCTCCCTCCCAGCGTTTCACTGTGCAAAGGCAGTGCTTCAGGAAATACTCGCAGACATACGACGTTTTGCGTTTCGGTAACTAGCAAGGCAAAATCGTGGGCTATTTTTAATTTTTAGCTTAAGGGTGAAGAACTATTTCTGAAACGATTTGTTTTAGTTTTTTTTTTATTTAATTGAGGACGGCTGCCAGACGGTTAAAGCTGAAATAAGTCCTCTCACATCGGCCGGCCGGCCAGTCCGGTCTGAGATCTCAGCCGAGGGCCTTCAACGCTGGCGCGACCTTTTCTCCAGGCGACGTTGGTGTGGAAAAACGTGTTGGGAGTCGACCATCTCTACACCCTGACCAAGACTCTACAGACTCTTTGGTTGCAAATAATTCCAACACTAAACACCAGCGCGCCGGCACCAGGCATATATCAATACTGCTCAATAATTTATCGATGTCACTTATTTCCCCTGCACTGACAGGGGCAGAAATACGCCCATTAGCGAACAGGGGGGCAGCAGAGAAGACACACAGTGGTCAGTGCAATCGCTTTATATAACCTGTTATTGGGTGTTACTAACTAGGGCGAAGCAAAGGGGAATCAAGCAGCCGATCACACCAAGAGACAACAATATCGTTTTCTACGAACTCGTTCCGTTCTGCCGTTCTGTACACCTTTATAAGACCATATAAAAACCGCTCACCGCATCCCTGCAACGACGAGTCGCTATGACTTCGGGACCAATTTCGGAAAAAAGGCGAATTTCTATTAAAAGGACGGATGTTCATAGGTACAGTAATTGGAATTATTCTTCATTATCATCATTACTATAACGAATGAAATCTTTCGAGTCCCCCCCAAGGCAAAGATTGCTTTCAGGAAGTAGGTACAGCCGATAGATGGTGCTGTTTAATTATTATTAATTAACCCGATTAACGCTTTCGCTGTGAGAGGTTTACACTGACACCAGTTAAACGGATGGGATGGACTTGAACAAGCAGGTCACAGCTCCTTACTTCAAAGGATTTGAACCCACGACCTTGCATGCCGAACATCTTTCTTTGAGGAGCCTCTGCGCAATACAGCCACCTGAGAGCTCGCATTAACAGCTGAGCGCAATACAGCTGTGGTGACATGGTAAAGCCTCACAATGCAAATATTTGTCATGTATTCATGCTCCGTTATTGTGGGAATCTTAAATCGTTTTCTAAACGAGTGCTGCGTTACCCTGTGTCCGGAAAAAAAAGTACCCATTCTGTCAATCCATTTTCAATAACCGCTTACTCCAATAGGTCACTCATTCATTAGATCTAGTAAATGCTGTCCAGCACAGGGCTGTGGTTACTCATTAATAAAGTGTGGTAAAAGTTCTATGTTAAACAACTCTTATGTGTCAGTTATTATTCGGCTGTCTTTACTGAACTCCTGGCAAATACAACTGGAGCGTGGGCGTCAGGTCCTATATTGTAAACCAGCAGATTCACAGTTAGAGCACAGCTACCGCATATCCATTGACAGACACGGATAGTTCCACCACAGCAACAGATGTCTGAGAAAATCCACAAATGAAAAAAAAAAACGAATCAATTTCTCTTCCGACAAAATCAATACGATGTGTGTGCTGATTTCAAGAAACCCGTGTTTTTGTTAATGTATCGTTAAGAAGTCGTTGTTTTTATAATAGGTTATCGCTGTACTGTTCAGATGAAATTAAAATGTAACCAACATCGACGTTTGAACACGAAGTGTTTTGGGAATTGAGCTTTTTAAAGGTTGATAAGTGTTTGTGGCAACAAAGTTACTTTGTATTTTGTGATCCGCAGGTGTGTACATATTTATTCACCATGCAATATTGTAACTTCGGGCGTATTGATGTCAGCGCATGAATTTCGCAATGGGTCGCAAATTGTAGACACGCAGCTGAAGGAGGCGCAGCGACATTGCGCTTCTGCTTTCTGCTGTTCAGTCTGAAACTAACCTCTCCTCTTCCTCTTTTGCACCCCTCTCACGGTCACAGATCTGTACATACGCTCCGCGGTTTATTCGTTGATGCAAATTTCAGCTCAAACATTACTTTCACATTCGGACGCGAGGCCTAGTGATCGGGTCTGCGCGATGTTATGGTATCAGGTGCCGGACAGGGCGCTGTAGTTGTTGTTGTTGTTGTTGTTGTTGTGTCCTCTAGCTAGACATTTCGCCCAATTATCCCCATTTTGCACCTACAATATATACGTCTAGAAGTAAATCACTTTGCATAAAAGTGTAATCAGATTAAATGGGGAAAAAAAACCCACTTATGCCAACTACACATTTCTCAAATTCCCTTCCTTGGACTGTTTGAGATGACACGATTACACGCCCTTAAAGGGACCACGGAAAGTCACGATTAAGCGACGACCGTCGATTTCGTGGCATTATTAATTTTTCAGCAGAGAGTTCTTCGGACGGTTTGACTAACACCTTAAGCTTTTCGTCGGTATACCCGTTTGCACCCTGATTATATTCCAGGTTTAATCATCGCCGCGTCTGCAGAACAGAGAGATTATAAAGGCGTTATAAACAATAAGATGCCAATGGGCTCACAAACATTTTACAATAATGAGACATTTTTCCATGCTTTATTATTACCTCACCAAAAAAAAAAAGGGTCCCGATGATCGGCATCCCCAGCAGCTGTTATAGCGTACCCTTATCTTTCCATGATTACGGCGCACATTGCAAGCTACATCTATTAGTGTTATTACGGTAATCACCTGGATGACGTAACCCTACCCGCAGCATCACGACAGTGAGAACCAGTACACAGGGAGGCAGGGACACTGTCCCTTTAAGAAAAACATTTCCCCCCCTCCCCGTGTGCGTGTGTATTTTTTAAAAACAGAAATCAACAATAAAGCTAACTGACGAAAGCGCGTTGTCGGCGAAAGAGTGGAGCTGTTGGACGAGGCACAGACGGGCAGGAAAGCCGGGCGATGCCCATCTGGAAAGCGCTCTGAATTTGCGGCGTGGAGAGGAGGAGGAGGAGGAGGAATATGGTGGCCACGGCAAACTAAAGGCAGGTTTTGGACAACATCGAAGCCAAGCCGCGGAAGGTCGCACCGGGCAGCGATGGAGTGGCGGCGAGCGCCGGGGGACTGGGAGCTGCGCTGGGGGACTGGGAGCTGCAACTGGCGGCTGTGCCGTGACCAGTGAGCCCTCCGGCGGGGGAGGCTGTTGTCCGCGCCGGGATAGCCGAGGCGCATGGAGTAAAACGTGGGTCCCGCACCGAGGGGAGAGTGCCGTCGGACGAAATACTCCCGGCCGAGGCGATGCTGGATAATCCGCCCGACAAAGTTTTGAATTGTTGACGGGAATCGGGAGCGGAGGAAGACCCCCCTCGTCCCCCGCCTCTCCCACCCACCCGAACCCCCGCCGTGTTGGGGGGCACAAGATAATCATCTGGATTTTTTTTCCTTTCTCCCCTGCTCTTGGGTTAGCTGTCGCTTTTTTTTTCGTTATTTTCTACCTGCGTTTGGAGAACTCATAGCGGGGGGGAAGGGGGAGAGATCGTTCGTGAAATTAACGAAAAGAAAGGAAAAGGCGCATCAATACGAATTATTACTTGCTGGAACCCTAACTTTGTTAGGGTTGACAGGTCGCTTGCTTCACCTGTTCCATCGGGAGGGGGGCCGTTCACATTGCTGTCTGGACCGTGTGCTGTGTCGATTCCTCTCAGGTGTACCTTTTAACGGCATCTTGTTTTTTACACACACACGCAAAAAAAAAAAACCCACAAAAAAAAGGCATCCAGAACAAAATTACATGGAGACTCGCCTGACATGCCGAGGAAGGAGTTACCATTGCCGCAGGGTTGGGAAGAAGCCCGGGATTTTGACGGGAGGGTTTATTACATCGACCACATCAATAAAACGACGAGCTGGATCGACCCCAGAGACAGGTAGAGATCGGGCAGGAGGGGGGGATCCACAGCACCTGCGTGTAAGGAAACCCGGGAGACAAAGTTTCCTTTCTTCTGCCTGTGCGCGGCTACATTACCTGCTACTCAGAAGCCGCCGCTCCGCTTAGAAAGTTCAGTGGCTTTGGCGCCGGGGATCCTGCGCTAGCCGCCTCACGGCGAGGGAAAAGGATTTGGGATTTTAGAGGGCTAGCTAGGGTTTCCGACGTTCAAATCCGTCTGTGGGTCTCCCCTTGTCTATACCCACCCCTTTCTGCTTTCTCCTCTCTCTGGTGATTTTATACCTGACCCGCCGCACGCCAGTTTTTATTATTTTTATTATTTATGTTCTCAAGAGCAGATCAAGTGTTTCATGAAACGCAGATAACGCTCGTATGCAAAAAAAAAAAGGTTGCAGAAAAAGCTCGGTACTGAACCGTCGAGTCGTTTCTCCCTGACGAACGAGGCAGAGTTCCGAGAGTCACGGCGAGGATGACTCGGACGTGCAGCATCGTCTTTCTCGTTTGTAGAAACGTGAGCATTGGAAAGCAGGTGCAGTCGGGGCGGAAAAAAAAAAGTCCTTGCTTTCCATCCTAGAGTGAAAATGAGGATGGCACGGCGCTATTGCATTAGTGGAGGGGAGTTTGAAACGTAAAGTCATGTTTTAAAATGATTAAAATCCTAACGTTGGCTCCAGTATCAGGACAAGCAATTAAGGGAATTATAGAAGCTTTGAATGAGCAAATGCTTTCGAGTGGGGATGATTTAAGGTGACTTTGTTATCGTTTAATCCAAAGGTTTGCCATTAGCTCTGTGGTAGATATGTTCCAAAATTTTAAAAAAATGCCGATCATTTGTAAAGAAGTCACGAATAACAGACATTTTGTCATTTGGAGTATTTTGGAGGGGCCTTCATGAGCTGAACTAATGAAATCAATTGATGAAGCGGACGATATAATCAACTTTATATTGTTTTTTTTTTAATTTAAAAAGCCAAATAATTCAAAGTTAATGAACTGATGTTTACGGTCCCGACTTGACATTTTCTAGAATGTATTGTGCTCCAGAAAGCCTGGCAAGAGACGTGCTGAAAGTTAGAACTTCATCTCATGAGACACACTGTAAGATAATTATTTTAGCTCTAGTTGGTGGTTTATTTCAGTCTCGTCCACAACCGTTGTTTTCTGTTTTATGATTGTTGCCCTGCACGAGGGGTGGCGCATCCGGGTCCTCGGGCCCCGGCACCTCGAGAGCTACACGTCACGTATTACCTGCCAGGTCTGAAAATAAAAAACATACTTTAGTGCTGTGTTTTTGTAGCAAGTAAACGTAAGATAAGTTTTAAAAATACAAAGGGACAACTAAAAGCACATGGGATGTATTCAGTTTGAAACATTGTCTTTAACAACAACAACACAATATTTTAAATCCGTAATTCTTCTAAGATTACTAACACATTCCAGGTTTCACTGGCGTACTACAAGATCCCCCACAGAAGTGGTCTGAATTTACACCTTAATCCAAAGAGGTGCGCTTGTGCTTTTATTGCTACTCAAGCCACGTTTGAAATTCTGAGAGTGCCGGACGCCGATGCGAGGCTGGGTTTTATTGCCCGGTGGAATGCAAGAGGTCAGCCTGGTCTCTAGGATACGGGAAGGGCAGAAGCGTAAACACGCACCCAGAGCCGCATTCCTAGAATGCATTTCACAGAGAAGGGGGGGCGGACGGAAGACAGGGTTGCGCTGAGCTGAAATTAAGTGCTTAGGTACATAGCCATTAACCGCCATTACCAGACACTCCCCGTGAGCAGAGCTGAAGCGCAGGACGTACTAGTGGGCCAGGTCCTGCTGAGGAGATGGATTGCGATGTGTACACTAACACAGAGATCAAACATAACGAAGGTTAGGGACTGAGGAGGCCACCAACCACATCACAAGTCTTTTGGTCTTCCGCTCCTGATCAACCCGAGGGTTTTTCTCGAAAGAAGTCCGAGCATCGACTTCAACCAGGGGGCGGGGTAGATTGTTCGGCACGCCCAGGACCCTCCGTGTAAAGGACTGTCTCCTGTCCTGCTCCCAGGACCTCATCCAGCTGCTCGGTTGGTGACGGATGCACTGTGCGACTGGAGCAAACAATATTGGGTTCGCCCCCTCTGTAACGCAGTTCAGAGAGAGGCTCTGCGCACTTCGCCTTCAGGCGCCTGTGCAGGAATTGTGCACTCTCTGGATTTGCCTGTCAAGGGCAAGGGACAGGTGACCTGGTACCCAAGGAGGGTCTGAATCGTTGGCGATGTAGCCAACGTCTGGGTGTAGCACTATTCCAGGCTGCTCTTTTGGTGTTTGAGTTATGGGCTTGTGAGAAGGGAGACGTGGGGTTTACCTGCTTGCCTGGTTTGAGATGTAAGAGACGTGGATCTGTATTGGACGGTAAAACAGGGCACATCCAGCCATGAATATGTGCACCATTTACTCAACGGGAAACTGTGTGGCCAGTTTCTCCATCAAGTGTCCTCGGGTGTTGGGTTTTGAAGGTGGCTGGGGAGGCTCGCTGGAATGTGCGCCGCCTGCCCCGCGCCCCTGGATTGGATGAAGAGGTCAGCAGCTGGCTGGGTGAAAGCTGGACGGTTTGGCCAGGACAGCGTGTGGGCCAAGTGGCAGGAGAAGCTTTTCATGAGAACAGTGTTGGTCTGTAATGTTTGCAGAATGGCTCCCTGATCTGTGCCTCGCTGAGATCTCACCTTGCCATCGTGATGTTCGGAGACTTACTCCAGTCTGAAGTGCCCAGCAAGGCGTCTAAGACTCAGTGTAGCTGTCTAGTGGGCTCCCTTGTATGACTCCCAAGTGCGTTGCATAACTACTGAGTTCATCCACCCAATCGATACCCAATCGATACCCAAATCGATAACCTCTCCGACACTGTGAATTTGCAGTGATTAGTTGTCTTGCAGTTAACTTTCCCCTGTGGTTGAGCACTCACATTTTCTTATTTCCTGTCATTGTAAATTCATGGACCCAGCTTGCTCTCTGTTTTTAGTACTGTACATGTTTTTAACTAAAGGTTTAATCAGAAGTTTAACTAGAGACACTAGATTGTAAATCCATGGGGTATCTCAGCATTATAGTCTCTCTGAATCAACTGCCTTGGAATGGAGCTGTCATTGACACAATAAGAAGCCAAGATGAACAGGACAGTGGATGAAAATGCCTGCCCTTGTTTTTTTATACCATTTCAGTGGAATATAACTTTTCTTACGTGGGGTCTTATAAAACTGTAACTTTTATAGCAACATCATTAAGAGCATTGCACGTGTTTCCAGTTTAGAACCCTATGCTATTAAAAAGGGGAGCAGTGTGGAGCTGTGTGGAGCTGTGGACAGGGCTCTGGGTTTGTGAATGGAAGGTCGTGGGTTCGAATCCCAGGTGAGACACTGCTGTTGTACCCATAAGCAAGGTGCTTCACTGAAGTGTTCCAGTAAGATACCTAGCTGTATGAATGGGTGCAAATGTTAGATGCTTTGTAAAAAAGCACCAGCCAAATAAATCAGAAATGAGAAAAGAGTCATGCTCACTAAAATCAAATATTTGAACATCAAGGAAACAAAAGCGAGCAAAATGTCACATCACATTTTACATAGCTGTTCAAAGAAATGGAAATCCTGGAATCGCTGCTTTGCCCAATGTAATCGTGTGCAATGCTGATAGAAATCTGTTCACATCCTGAAGTGTACCCAGCACCAGTGGACTGTGTAGTGGAAAGCTTTGCTTGGTGGTGGCAGTGGATGCCCAGGGGCACTGCAGGCTTGGGTCTCAGCAGCAGTTGGTGATGGTGCCTCACCTGTAATCTTGGCAATTACAGAAATGAAACTGGAAAGCAGAAGTCCAGACAGAAGGAAGTCTTAATGCAAATGACCTCAGACCAGTCCTTCTCTTGTTCATTCAACCCTCTTTCTGGAAGAAGAGGGATTTCACAGGGTCAGAGTTCAAGACGCCTGTGGTGGCAGAAAATAATATTTCTGAGCACCTATAAGCAATTAACCACTCTACACGTTCACAGTTTTGCTAGAATTTTTTGGACGGTCTCCATCTTGCGCACACATCTCCGTAAAGTTTTATTCTTGGCCATAGGTGATACAAACATGAATTGGTTTGCATAGGGCTGACGACTGAATTTCCGATTTGTATCTCGTTTGAATGAAACTGCCTGAGGGACGGTATTGGTGATGTCAGAGCCTGGTGTTGCCTGTGTGAAAGCCGTGAGCACTCAGAACGGAGTTATTCCTGACCTTTGGGATATCCCTGGCAGGAATGTCTCTCTCCAACTGCTGGAACTTTGAGAAGGTGCAGTAAATTCATGGAAAGGAATACAAGCATGAGCTGACCTCTCATAATTTGCATAATCCCCAAACCATGTGCTGATCTGGGTTTTCCCTTGGCTTAAGGTACAGTCAGAGACCTCTGTTGCAGTCTGCTGAAGTTTATGTTCTTCTGTAACTCTTGATCCTGAACATCATTTTTGTGTAGCAATATAGTAATATATAATAAAAATAACTGACATTCTAATGAATTTTTTTAATTTTTGTTCCTGACTCTTTGCTGGTGATGTTTCAGTTGTATTGCTGTGCTGGGCTCTTCCACAAAGCAAATTTTCTCATAGGGGATTAAAAAAAAAACTTAAATTGAATTAAAAACGCAAGTGGTATCAAATAGATGCACGTAGGTCATTTTGTTTTGGGGATCATCCTTGTTCTCAGTTTTCAAATTGGGTAAGATATGTACAAAAGAAACTGCGGTTTTGTTGAAAAGGCCTCTTCGCGTCGGCATTGTTTTGCAAAGGAAAGGTTATTTTAAATGATAAAACTATCTAAAGGATTCAACAGCCTCTTTTTGGCTATGGCTTGATGTGGGTGTGAAATACCTTTTAGCAAGGTGTGTGGCCCTCTCTGTGTTCTCAGGTATTCCAACAGCGGTGTTGACTTAGCGGGCCATGTGACACCCGCAGACTCCAGTCAGGGCAATGGAATGTTATCTTTAAAATATGACCGTGCAGTTGTCAGGGGTGAACCAGTCTGGCACAGTTGGACCTTGATCACATCAACACACCAATGACAAGTGTGGTAGGAACCACAGAAGTGTTCAGAGGAATGTGTTACTGTAAACACACAGCTTCCTCATTGTTCAGCAACATTTGAGCTCACCCACTGTAGGTTTGTTTGCTTTCGCAAAAACAATTAAATCATTACAGTTGGCAATTTTCATCTTTTTGTATGCAGTAAGGCATCAATGTTGTTGAAATAGTGCTTCTTTTATTTGCTTTCTATTGTTTTACGTTACTATCATACACCTGGTGCATAAATGAGATGTCTTGAGAGTGAAATGAGGAGAGTGTTGAGAAATTAGGAGCTTTGATTTATGAAGAGTATAAGATTATTCTTAAGTAAGGATAAATGCCCAGTTTGTTGACGTGGTCTGGGTATATTTTTTTCTTCTTATGGTGTATGACCAAGTGAATTTACTTTCAAATTATATTTTAATTGGGATATGCAAGTATTTAACATGTGTAATTAATTTAAAAGGGTGTTTAGGTCAGCATCTAGGTCACGTGCCGCTAGAGTCAAAATATCTAGCTTGAAACTCTGGCCCAGTGTCTTGGAGACATATAGGAGGCCCTGTTTCTTTCTTGATTCCTTTAGAAATCCTTCTGATTGTGGATCTGAATGGAGTAGGGCTGAAGAGCTGTTCATTTCAGAATTGTGACCAATGGTGTGTGTGCTCGACAGGTTGCAAGTGGTGCAAAGTTTTCACACAAGTACTTCTTCATTTTCATCCAAATAAGGAACAAAAAGTCACTTAATTCTGCTGGCGGTGGTGCAGCACTCCGCTCCGAGCTTTCAAAAACTTCGTCACGGCAGCTCTGCTAGGGTCTCTGTGTCTCTCTCTTTGCATTATTCATAACCTGAAAAACGAACCAGTTCGATTTCACTGTTTGAAAAAACATGAGCTAGGAACAATGAATGCCTTCTCTGCGTGCTGGAATGTGGTCAGCAGGTTAGCGAGCTGCGGTGCACATACAAATACCGTAATGGAGCAAGTTAATCTCATGGTGACTAGTATTACACAGCCAACGGCACAAGGCCACTCGTTCACTAAATCCAAATGATTAGAGAAGCACTTATTAAAATATGAGAAATCAAGTTCAGGTGCTCATGAAGGGGTGACCAGTGTGCACTCCGGCAGCTCAGTGTATCTGAAGGCCGCCGGCCTTGTGATTTTGCGCGTTCACTTCAGCTGCCCTCCCTGCTAGAAAGACCCGTGGGGAGTAAATTGGAAATTGACCGACTCTTTTTGGCGTTGTGGGGCTGCGGTCGTTAGCCGCCGCGCTCCGCTTCCTGTGCCCAGTCTGTCGGTTTGCAGAGATCTTGCAGTGTTGCCCCAGAAACATCTCGGGGACGTGTTAGTATGACGTCTGGAATGCCAGGCCTTTGTCTCGGTGTGCCTGCTGGGTAGGGCTCTGCATTGTCGCTGGCCGCCCCCGAGGCGAAAAGAGCCTGTTCCTGTGCCCTCATGGCAGTGCGAGGCATGAGAAAAATGTGTGTGAATCACCTTGGGCACGGAGCGTGGCGCTGAATTCTTAATTGTCCTCACCCTGGCTGTTACTGGCCCTGCCGCAGCTTCAGGTTTTTTTTAAGGGGGTTAGGGTGCAAGGAGTGCTTCATTTTTACTTTCTGGGGGTACTATGAAGCTCTGCTGTGCTCTGCTCAGGAGGCTCTGCAGGACGCAGGACGGGAGTTCGGAGCTGAAGCGAGGGGGAGGCTGCCAGTCCCGCGCGAGGTGGCAGGGTGGCAGGGTGGCAGGGTGGCAGGGCGGCCCGGCCAGGAGGAGAGGCCGACTGGCACGCCGCAGTCAGGGCTCCGGCAGGCCTGCCATCACGGCCGCTCGAGGGGCTGATCAAGCTTGTGGCAGAGCTGATGCTTTTAACTAAAGCGACGACGGCTCTCACTGTTTTCGCTAAATGTTACAAAAACATGTTATGGTATCTGTTATGTCTCATTTTAAAACGGCCTTTTTCTGTCTAAAATATTTCTGCCACCTGGTGCTCCACCACACTATATATATGTTTTTTTTAAGTTGGAATTGCCCCCTGTTTTCTGTTATACACTCTTTTTTTTTTTTAAACCCAGTTCTGCTTTTCATGCCTCGGGTTAGGGGACACCCCAGGGAAATGCACAAGAGCCGAAGGGCTCCTCTGGGCAGCGATGCGCAGGAGGTGGATCACTGATCACTGATCACAGGGGTGGTGCGTCCTCCAGCCTGCAGGGGTCGCTGTGTCTTCGAGAGAGCCCTGGCTCACTGAACTCAGCCCTGCCCTTTAACAGTCCTTCGCCAGCTGTGTCGCCTGAAGAATTCCGGTCATAATCGGAGGATGACCTGACCCTGGTCCGTCAACTGAATCAATGAGCCCAACCTGCTCGTGGGCCGGTCCTTTTTCTGGCTGAGCCATGCTCTACCTTTACCTCTTTATAAGCAGCACTGTAGTAAATGATGTCCTAGAGAAAATAAGGAAGGAGAGGAGACAGTGTAGTCCCTCTTGCCGGTAGCGCCCACTCGTTTATTGAAGGATCCTTGGGGAACCTGCTTGATTATGCAGTTGGCACAAAACCCTTCACATAAAGAGATGTTTCCTGTTTTCAGATTGTAAGTGCTCAGCCGCCTGCTTCTTGCTTCTTGGGTCCTAATTGATCCTAAGGTGAACACATACTGTGTAGCAAAGTAAGCTGTAGCGGATTGTGGTCTGGTCTGCAGTCCTGATTGTAGGAAAAGGTCATCTTCCAGCAGCCACATCACCCTGCAACTCACCACTGGCAGCCCACTAGCTCAGCAGGTGTGAGCCGGGCCAGTACCTGGATGAGAGACCTACTGGGAGAGCTGAGGCTGTTGCTGGAAGAGGTGTTAGTGGCACCAGTAGGGGGTGCTCTGCGGTCTGTGTGGAGTCTAATGCCCCAGTATAGCGATGGGGACACTATACTTTTACATCCAGTGTAAAAAGGCGCTGTCCTTCGGATGAGATGTAGAACCGAGGTCTGACTCTCTTTGGTTATTAAAAATCCCAGGGCATTTCTCTATTATTATTATTATTTTTAGTAGTAGTTGTAATAACAATAAGGTTGCTGAATTAGCTTTATAATTCCTTAGCTATTATATTTAATACAGGTACTCAGGTACAGGTACTACTGTGTTCCATGCTATTAATAAAACACAAAACACAGAAATCTGTGAGGCACCTCCTCAGAGTCCTGGAGGCTGGATTAGAATTCTGACACGAACAGCAGCAATGGTTTGGATCGGAAGTGAAACGTGTGGTTTCAGTAACATTTATGTTATGATCGGTAGAAAATGTGGACTAAAAGAATGCAATAATTTAGTTTATTTCAGTGAGACTATAATTGTACGTTTTTGTTAGGTATTTACGTATTGTTGTGCACTTTACACAGTACCTGCTGTAATTCAGAATGGCAGTGTTCTAAGCGCACCAGTTTAGTAAATTATTTAAAGATATAAATCATTAAAGTGTTTTTTCTTTGTCCTCCAGGCAGACGAAACCTTTAACTTTTGCTGACTGCATCGGAGATGAGTTGCCTGTGGGCTGGGAGGAGGCCTATGACCCAAAGGTTGGAGCCTATTATGTTGACCACAACACTAGTAAGTGTCCAGAATTATTGTGATAACATTTGAGTTAAATGTAACACCACTGCACATGCTCAAAAACACACGTGCATCTGAAGAAAGCTTTCCCAATTTCTGAAAAAAGAAACCCAATTTAATATCAGGAAGAAGAAGGTGGATCCGTGGACTTTAATTGGCAAAAATGACAATATGAAAAGACATATTTCAAGAATTCTCTATCTTTATTCCTTAATCAATAAGGAATCCCATATTTTTTGTAAATTCATGCCTTCTAGTTCTCTTTCCCTTGATACAGATAAGACAGATAAGAAGGCTTTTCCCCTCATTCAAAAGATTGTCCTCATCTTAAAGCTGCTGACATGCTTTTCTTGGTGAAACACATCCTGTGTGTTACTCTGCTAAGGGTACAGCATGTCTGTTAGAGATGTCTCCAGTGTACACTATACATCCTTGTGCAAATGAAGGATCATGAAACTTGCTCGCCCTACAACGTGATGAGGCTGTTTCATTTTCAGGCTTGCTTTTTAATTCGAGCCCAGTAAATCTGTTCTTGTGAATATGTTATCTGTTGAAGGCCATATGTATAAATGTAATGAATGTAATAGAGCTGGTCAGTAAAACAAAAAAATACATTATTGAGAATTAACTCCGGAGAGCTGGACTGGAAAGTCTGGTTTTAAGAAGGACATACATTCTCTGGTGTACATATTTAGACTTTCATTGTTTTACCAAAAAATAATTAGAATTACATTTTTGTAAACTCATTTACTGTAACTTGAGAGTATTGTAAAATTAAACTGGTGACACAGTATGCTCAAGGCAGCTCTCCTCTTGGAATACAAAATTGTACCCAGTCGTCATCTTCACAGGTGAAATAAGATGGTGAGCCAACACTGTGATACTTCTGAACCATTACGCTTGTTGTATGAAGACGACCAACTGAAAATAGAAAAGTCTGTACCATGTGAGAGTCTGTGACTGTGTGAGACTATAAGCTGACATGTACAATTGTACGTGACTCTGTGCTCCTGTGTGAGACCCGGTGTCTCTCTC